AGACTCGATAGAAATACACTCACGCAAGCCTTTCAAGGTTGCTGAAGGCTATTAGTAAAACGAGTTACGAGCGCCAGTCATGTTGCGAGATAAACATGTAGCGGGTTCAGACCACACCCAGCCAATATCGGCAATTGAATATTCAAGTTGATCCCGTCAACAGTTTTGGTGGGACCAATCTAGAAAAGCACTTGACCAAACTCGCGCAGGTAACAAGTGACAACCCACATCTCGTTTCAAGCAGGATTGTTTTAGTTGTGGCATTGCCATGTGAAATTAAAGTATAGCTGAGCACCCGACCAGTACATAGAAGATTTGAATGCATCACCAGCACTAAGAAAACTTATCTGACTTCCTTTAAAGGAAACAGAATTGTGGAGGAATAATCATCAAATGATAAGTGGGATCCAGAAGGCTGTCCACGAACCAGATATCTGAAAGATCACTAATTAGCGCCACAAATACACTTGAAAGCGTAAAAATGTATCGGTCGTTGCAATAATGATATAGGAAATGGACGTGCAGAGGGCAACCGTTCTAGCTGAATTTGTGAAAAAACAAGGCGAGTGCCAATGAACTGATTTATCCGTAGAGGTAATATGTTGAAAAATAAGTTTAAAAAGCCCATTTATTTCAAAAAGAGAAATGACAAAATTATTTATAATGTACAAGGAACGAAAAATTTAAGTTGCATGAAATATAAGAAGATTTTCAGTTATAACTGCTTGCATCCAAATCTATACCAACTTTTTTGCTTGAAAGAACGAACGCAAATGTCGCATCTGCCATATACCAATAATGACCAACAAGATGAACTGAGCAATACTCCACCAAGTAACACGTCGATTTGTACTCTCACTAAGATCCCTAAAATACTCTTCGCGAACCTAAAGCAAATTAAAAATATAGCAAGTAATGGCTAATCAAAGGCGGATGGGGACTATTAATAAATACTTACTCTCTGGAAACTCTGATCTTTAGATATCATTTCTACTTGGTCTAAAAGCTGGCGAACTCTAAGTTGAAGATCGCTAAGTTTTTCTCTCGATGCTATTTCAGCATAGTTTTGCGCGTGGTCCCCGACTCCTATGTCCAGATGAACCCTCTGAGGAGATGAATAAAATACCAAGACACCTACCAGAAGCTCTCCACCAAACCATGCAGAAGAATTTGAGGATAGACAAATACGATAGTCTCCAGGGGAATGGGCCGTAAAGGTGAATCTTCCTTCCGAGGAGTAGAGCTGAAAAGAACAAATTAAATTAATAACATGAAAAACAAGACAAGCTAGTTAAAACCGAGATGCACCGTGAATCACCAAGATAAAAGTCTAAGCTACGCTTACTTTAGAATGCAAAAGATGACTATATGGATCTATTATTTCGACAATCAAACCTAATTCTGAACGCTCCCACACCCTCTGAGCTCCGGTAAATTGGTCAAGGCGAAATGAACCTGAGAAAAGAGAATACGTTACTCACACGAGAGAGCATATTTTTTTGATC